ACCTATGCGCCGTGTGCGTGGCCTCCTTTGAAATCTTTATATATATATTTATATTATTGATTATATATAATTGATTAAATATATTATTGATTTCAGAGAAGAAAGGTGAGAGATAGAACATCAATTATGAGAGCCATGGATGGGCTGCCTCCTGCACGCCCCCCTCTCCCCCCCATGGAGCCCACAACCCCGGCCTGTGCCCGGACCAGGAATCCAACCGGGCTGATAGGGCGACGCTCAGCCGCGGAGACAGCAGCCGGGCCGGGCGCAGCTCCAGCTCCGTGACCCTTGAAGGACAGAAGCAGCAGCGACCTTCCCTTCGCCAGCGGACGGCTCTGGTTCCCTTGGGCATCACGTGGCCGCATGTCCCTGGGTCAGCGTGCCCATCGCCGTGCCCTCCTGTCACCTCTAGAAACCTGTCCGTCCAGATGGGGGGCTGGGAGGGGGGCGAGGCTCACCGCTCCCACATCCTGGGCCCAACCCCAAAACTGGGTGAGCAGGCAGCCTGCACCCCCCACCCCCGGGGAAGGGAAGCCAGGACTCGCCGGCTTTGGGTTCACCACCTACCAGAGGCCTGCCAGGCGGGGAGCCTGTCACCGGGCACCGCGGGGCGAACGCAGCCCAGCCTGGTGACTCACCGAGGCCGGGAGCCCTCGCCCCCGCCCACGAGCGGTGATTAATCTCCCCAGGGCCGCTCCAGACCTATAATTATGCTCGCTTCACACGCAGGGAAACTGAGGCAGAGGCCTGCACGGTGGCCCAGTGAGGTTGCCTCCCTGTCTAACCCCAAAGCAGGGGTCCCCTGGGTGAACCCAGCCTGGGAGCCGGGCCAGAGTCCTCCTCTCGGGCCGGAGACAGTGGCCACCGTGAAAGTGGACACTCGGGCCCAGGAGTCCCTTCAACGGGGCAGGGCTGCTGGGCTCCGGGCCCCACGGCCAGACCCGGAGAGCTGGGGAGCTAGAAGTTCATTTTTATCAGAAAATAGTACCATGTTTTCAAGTCCGCTAACCAGTTCCATTTATTTTTGTTAATTTTTCCACTGGTTTTTAGAGAGAACAGAAAGGCGGGGGAGGGAAACTCTCCCTTCCTCTCTGAAATCAATAAAAAAAAAATTTTTTTTTCACAAGCTGGCCCCAGCGGGCACTCAAAGCCGAGGCTCCGCCCCCTCCTCTCTGAGAGGCCACCTCCCCTTCAAGGTCAGACACCAGGGGCCCAAGGACCAAGCACTCACCCCCCCACCCCCGCCCCCGGGATGTCAGCCTCGGGGCAGCTCCGAGCTGAGTGAGTCATCGCTGATTCTGCTCCGGCTGCACCGCCGCCCGGGCACAGCCGAGCCCACATACTTGGGGCTAATTCATTTGGCAGCAGCATCAAAGCCCCAAGAGGGCGGCGGCCAAGTGCTCTCCTCTTTAAAAAGGCAACGACGCACAAACAGATCCTGGCGAGAAGAAACGCAGAATTCTGACCATCTCTCCTCTTCTGTTGCTAGAATTGGGGGGGGGG